AAGAAAATTAAACTAATATAAGAAAAGAAAAAGTATTTTTTGTTAAAAAAATATAATTCATTTTCGCATCATAATTTATCCATTATATATTCTTTTTCTTTAATCAACATTTACATAGTCTCCCTAGCGAAGAATAATAAGTTCTACATCCCACTTGTTAAAACTGTTAAAGTATGAAAAAATCTACAAATATCACGCGTTTTTTTCTCATTTACATAGACGGGGATATTTTAATAAAACATTTTTGTTTACGATATGCATAATGCATTTTTTTATAAAGCAAAACTGCAACATAATCTCAGTTTTTTACTTAATAAAAAATTGATTCATGTGCATTAAAAAAAATGTTTATGAAAATTATTTAAAAAAAAAAATTATATTATCAAATTTTGATTGATTATGATTAATTGCTTTTTAGCAATGCAGTATTTAGTCATACCCATTATTAAGATCTTGGATGCTTGGAAATTTTTTCCAATAGTACAAAAAATGTATAAAATCATTAAGCAATAATTATAAATTTACATAATTCATTATAATAATATATTACAATATTCATGAGTGTTGGATATCAAAGTAATACATTAAATATATATTTTTTACAAAATATTACAAATTATTCATATCATCATTAATATTTTATACATTTATTACTCAATAAAATACAACATTCTTAATTTATTTTTAAATAGTAATTATTTTTATAAAAGCATTTTAAAATATAATTATAACCCTGATCTTAGAACAAAAAAAAGTATAAAAATCATTAAGCATTATAAAAAATAAATTATTAGAATTTACTTAGTATATGATATTATTTTATAATTTAAAAACAAATTTAGATTATTTAAGCATCCTATGTATTTTTAAGGCTATCTATTTTGTCGGGCCGCGCAATATACCCTTTTATCTCTGCTGAATATTTTATCTAACTAACTGAAAAATATACAAAGTACATTAATTATAATACTTAACTAAATTAATATAACAATTTTTAAGGATCCTACTTTTTTTTAAAAGCTTACTAATTTGTCGGATCCACCATTGTTCTATTATCCCTGCTGAATATTTTGTATAACGCACAAAAAAAATATACATAGTACATTCTTTTTATTATAAATAATTTTATATAGGATTTTATTTCTATTCCAAAAAAATCAATATATATATACAATATTTATTTTCATTCAATTAAAATTATATATTTATTCTTAAGGTTCCTACCTTTTTTAACAATACTCCTTTTTATTCTTTCAATAAAAAATACTAAACAGAGTTTTCTATTTTTAGGATTTTATAAATACATTTTACGGTATAAGGATCCTATTTTTTTTAAGTGCCAATTGGTCTCTCCGAATAGTATTTTATTTTAATCCTAACTTATAAAATTGAGAATTATTTTTTTTTACTTCAGAAAACTGTCCCCATCTTATTTCCTCTTTATAATTGTTCAAATATTGAAATATCAGCCATTAATGATGAACAAATATTAATATATCAGCCATTAATAATGAACAAATGCAAAATAAACCTTTAGAATATCATAATAGGCTTGATAAGTCCCCCATAAAAATTTTTTGATGATAGCCCTCCAACTACTAGAAATATTCATCTAATATTGACTCATCTACTGGTTTACATTATTTTAATGTTCGTTTTATTTCAATAATAATGTTTATTTATATTTTAGCCTGATTTCTTTATTTGTCTAGGCTAACCCAACCTTAATCCCTAACATTGCTACAAAACATGATGAATCTATTATTAAAGATAAGCAAAGAAAATAATGACGATTAAACAAAAGCCTTACCCGTTCTAGAGTTACTGGTAACCAAAATAATAAAGAACTACGGTTGAAATGAACTCCTCTGGAGGTTTATTTTGTTTTTTTTTATTATGTTTTATATCTATGTTTATTTTATTTTTACCAAGTTCTCCAAATGATATTTCTATCACCACCACCACAATCCCTATGCTACCTCTGCCTATTTTTTAACAAATATAAGAATTCAATTCCGTACTTTCATTTACTTCCCTAAGGTGTTATATAAATATTACTTTATCCGATTATCTGAGAAACTTTCATGAATATTTAGAGGTATGTTTAAACTTGAATGTACAGTACGGCCAATTTCATCAACTTTATTAATGGAAAATATACAGTAGTTCTGTTGTGGCCTTTATAACAATACTTACGACAGTTTTATGGTTGAGTTAACATTATAGGATGGTTAATTCATTCATATGAGTTTACTCTAACATGAATACAGGCGCGTACGCAGGAATTTGATTTGGGGGTAGGGGGGATAATAAAATTTTTTAAGAAATATTATTGTAAATTAAAAATACTAAGCATAAATTTATTAGGACTAATAACTTTTCTAATACACAATTTTAAACTAATGTGAATTAAAAAAATTATATATATAAACAGGCATTGAAAAACTATAAAATAAATGTGAATTATAAAATATAAAGTGAATATAACCCACGATATGAATCACTTAAATGACCCAAAATTGAAATTTGAATTTTTTGATATAAAGTATAAAAAATTTAAATGTTGGAAATATAAATTAATACACAAAAATTTTCTTAGGAATAATTGTATTTGTATGTTTTGAGCTAATTTTTCAATTATCTATCCTTGCTTGGCGTTAAATGCCTTTGAATATTCAAAGGATCCAAATTCAATCTACTTTCAGATGTTGTATTTCATAGGTATGTTTTTCACAGACTTGCAGGCCCGGCCTCCGAGCCGGACCGTATTTTAATTTTTTTAAATATACCCAGGCTGGGCCTGAAATTTTTTTTAAAAAAAATATCCGGGCTGAGCTGTATATTTTAAAACCAAATATTTGAAATCGCCATTATTAGCTATTAAAATCAATAAAAATATAATATATTTTAAAAAATTTGGGCCGGGCCTAAAAATTTTATTTTCAAAAAAGCCGGGCCGGGCCTGAAAATTTTTTAAAAACCCGGGCCGGAAAAAATTTAAAAAAAAATCTGGGCCGTGTCCTGCAAATGTTAACTCTGCAAGGCTCTGTTATTCTTCTTAAAAAAGAGATTGTTCTCTCATTAGTTTACTAAAGAGCATTTTAATACATTAGGAGTATAATCTAAAATGTGTTTGAAATAATGCAAAGCATCCATAGCATTTTTTGGGACTCTATCAACCATAGTTAATCTTTTAATCATAGTTATTCAGCTAATAAGGTCTCATAAGATATTTTAACATCTTCATAAAAATCTAACAAATATTTATATTTTTTTTCTATCACCATATGAAAAAGGTTAGGAGAGGGGACATTTGTTTTATAATACTCTTCTACTGATCCTATATTAATGTTTTGAAGATGAGCTTGCTTGCTGCAAGTCGAGGGGGACAAATATTAAACACGTATAGCTCTGCTTTTGACTCAACAATAACATATAAAATATGAAATTCTTCATCAACATTAGCTCTAATTTCCTTGAGTTCTAATAAAATGCTCTCCGCTAGTCTCATCTTCTTAATCAAGTCAATGTTATGTTTTTGAAAAGTATTACATAAAATAGTTGTATAATTAAATAATACATTCTAATGAGAAAAAAATTTGGAATAAGTATTGAATCCAATAATTTTCTTGCTTCTGAGGAAATATTTCTTTCAAGCCATTGTGATATTTCAGTAATAGCATTAATAATCAGCTCTTATAACTCCAAAATAGCTGTTACTGCTTGATGGTGGAGACTCGATCTCGTTGGAACTTGCAATTTCTTTCCCCCTGTTGGACAAGGAGTTTCAGAGATAATTATTATTTGATTAGAAATTTAGATACGCCACTAAAATTTGAAAATAATAGATAAATTACGCCAAGGAAAACTTGAAATCAAAATTAATTGATAAAATAACTTAGTAGATGAATGTGATAAATAAATGTAATTAAATATATATATATGAGATAGGAATAAATATTAACAATAATATTTTTGAAAAATATAATCCGTTATCTGCATTTTTTGGATGCCGTATTAACTGCCAAGTGTTCCTGTCTATGAGATAAATATTTTGAAAACAATTGTTATTATAATTTAATATGAAAAATTTTTTATAAATAAAAATATCTTTTTATTCGCTATATTATATTATATTATATAAAATTTTATTTATAATTATATTATTAAAATAAAATTTATTTTTTAACATGGCTAAAATATATTGTATTAAAAATATGCTTTATTATTACATTTATAAACATTTAGAGTTTAAGTCAGAATTAACGCTATAAAAGTTTATTTATATTAAATTAAATTAAAAAAAATTTAACATAAAATTTTGAACGGTTTATGAACGTGAACGCGTTCCTTTTTTTTAAACATGAACTTGAACGTAAACGCGTTCGATTTTTGTCAATGAACGTTGAACGCGTTCGATTTTTTTAGAAATGTTTACAGCACTATAATTTACAAAATAATTTTGTTCATTTGAATGAAATGACTATTGCTTATATCCTGGTAATAATCTTTTGCACATAGATTCTAACTTTTAAGTTCTTTTAGTTCCTGTAAAATGATAAATTTTAATAATAATTTATTCATTAATTCATTGATCTACAATTCAATTTATAAATCCTAGCATTTTGAAAGACTCTCTTGATTTATTCTCTACATTTATATTACCTTTAGTATATATATATGTAGAATTTATTTTAAAAAGCATGTGTAAACCAAATATAAAAGTGTTGTATACTCAAATAATGGATTTTGTCAGGCCTGTTTTTGTTTGAAATAAATATATTTGAAATTTATTTAATAATAAAATAATATTTTAATTCATCAAATATAATCAATTTTGTTAGTATAAAGTTATATTTTTTTTGAAATTATTTCTTCGATCTTATCAAGAAAATTGACGCGATAAATGCAATTTGTTAGTTTGGTTTACTAAACGAATTAATATTTAAGAATAATTTAGAATTTAGAAAAATTTAATATAAAATATTATAATTCCCGACATTCTATCTGTCAAAAATAAACATGTGTCATTATCGTGTGAAAAATCAATATGTCAGATCTGATAGGTATATTTGCTTAACAATGCTATATTTACATTAATGGGTATGGTTGATTTTTTTTTATTTATGGTCTTTAATATTTATGCTAGGTTCTTTGCCACGAGAGGAATATGGTTTAAAAAAATATTCAAGCGCGCATATGAATCCTAATATATTTGACAACCCCTTAGAAGATGATGTAAGCCCTAAGAAGTCTTATCTTAAAGATAAGTTTGATAAGTTCAAAGATATGGATTATGAACTTACTGAAGGTATAGACATTCATTATAATATATTAATATGTTAAATTTAGATCAAAATGAACAAATTAAGGCGACAATCACTACATTTACATGGTTTATACTTATATATTATTTCTAGAGTTCTATAATAATTTATCCCATAGCCTATTTTTAGACCAGTTACTATCGCAACCATTTATAACCATAAGTACCCAATGTCAAGTAATTTATATATTTATTAAAACTATACATTTTTTTTTAAAAGTTACATTTAGATTCTAAAAAATACCATATTAATCCAATAACTCTCATGACTCCAACAATAAATATAATAAAAACCCAAGTATATTTTTTATACACAACAGATATGGCAAATTATTTATAATGTATTATGATATGATTTTATCAGGGAATGTTCTGTTTATGGAAAGGGTTAACAACTACACTCATTGTAAATGGCTTATCAACAGTCACGGAGAATTTTTTGAGTGACATATTGCAATATCCAAAGTTTATTTAAAATCTATATTTGATTTGTTTTGTTTAATAATTTTTCTTTATTTTTTTTTCTCATACTAATTATTTTAAAATCTACAATATTTTATTGATAAAAGTTATAAATATAAGCACAAACACACTTTTCAGAAAATCATGACATACCTGAAATAATTATACTTTTGAAGTTAGTAAACTTAAAAATAAAAGGAAAAAGAAGTATAAAAAACAAACAAAGAGAATAAAAAAATTATTAAAATGAAGAGAATAATATAATTAAAGACTTTAAAATAAAGAATGAAAAACTTGAATCCAAATATTCCTTAATATTTAATATTTTTAATAATAATATTTTATTTTTTTTAGAGATGTGAATTTTACAAAATCTTCATCCAAAGAAATATGCCAACATTTTATTTTAAAATGGTAAAAAGATTTCAATGCTATATGTAATTCTTTTTATATAATTATTTGTTTTCATTTCTGAAGAGAAGGGTTTTATTTATTTATTTATTATAATTTCTTTCGCATCTTATTTAGTTTTATTTTTTAAAATGTTTTTATTTTATTTCATTTTTTTTTAAATTCAAGTAAAAAATAAATAAATTAAAAACAAAAAAGCTTGACCTACAGTCTGATGTGCCCATTCTACATTGCTAATTTGATTCAAATAGTGCAGGTTTATGATAAGATAAATAATATTAACAATTCCTTGCAATCCTATGAATGAACACCAACCTTATTGGTTGGAAGTGCTTAGAAAAGCATAAAATATAAAAAGCATAATTTAGAGTTTTTGATTTGAAATTATACTTCAATTTTTTTTTGAATATTAATTTTGTTTTAAAAAAGTTTAAAAATTAATTTAAAACCTTTACAATTTTTGATAGTCTTCAATAATTGATTAAGTTAGATAGAACCAGAAAAATATTGAAATAATCACATCAAAATACTTTAATTTGCTAGTGCCTAAAAGTGTATAGTATTTGGGGAATTTTTTTAACCGATAGATTTGAGCAGTGTTGTTAAACAGCTCGTTTAGAGCCGATTTTTAATAGCGGCTATATCGATATTTTAGCCATAAAAATATTGACTAAGCCTTCAGATTTTGATCATGTATGTATAGTAGACCTTTGTTCCTTCTATGAGCAAAATCTTCATGGATTGCGTAATATTCTTCTGGATGTAGTATCGAGGTTGCCGTTTTATAAAATTAACAACACTAGGTTTGAGTTTTATGAAAATATAATTTAACTTCTTTCTATATTAATGCTCAATCGATTTTCCTTGCCTAAAAAATAATTAAAATAATAAAAAAATAACATTTTCCATAAAATTTTATATTAAATATACATATAAAGAAAGAATTTATATTTATCTTTTTACAAATTATAAATGCCTTTTTTTTTTGCTATAACATTTACTACCTTACGCGGTATCGCCGCTAATTTAAAAGTTGGCGCATGGTGTAGCGGTGTACAGGTCTTACTATAATTTCGGGTTCTTACATATCAATGCTAATTGTGTTTTAATTTTTTATTTTCCATTATATTATATTTCATTTCATTTCATTTTTTTCCTCGTTTTTTTTTATGCAGAGTTCTATCATAACCCTTGACGAACCCTCTTCTTCCTCATCCTCCATCTATTCCATAATTCCCCGAAACGTTGTCGATTTATTTCGTGATGCGTTTCACATTACTAAATCCGCCATCCTCGGGACCACACTTTTTGGGCGTTCTGTCGCCGAACCTTTGGCAAAACGTTCATCCGGCGGTGCCATGAGTTGGATTTACGACGATAAATCGAACAGAGTTGGGGCGCTATTTCTTGCCCTAATTTCGGCTTTCATAATTCGGTACATAGCTGAACGGCTTTGCGAAGCCTTGGCTGGAAAGGTGGCCAATAGGATGGTTGTTAAAAATATTAAAGTTTGAATTACAAATTATTCGCATTTTATTATTTTTTTAAACTTATATTTATGCGATGCGGTAATTTCGTTGGCGACTTGAAATAAGGGGGGGGGGATAAATAGAACTGCATCAATATTTTTATGGATATTGAGTTACCTGAGATGCGAATATCTAGGATGGAAAAAGATTGACACCTATCAATCCATAACATTCAGGAATGTTAGTAAAACTATTATAAAAAAAATCCGTGCAGGGCCTGAAAATACAAAACCAGGGCCAGGCCTAACTTTTTAAAAATAAAATCAGTGCCGGGCCATGCAAATGGTACCCCTGCAAATCTCCGATAATTATAAAATAATGAAGTCTGGGTGACCAATTTTTCGCGCGCAATGAAATTGTTATTGACAAGATAAGGAAAGAGTGGAGGGACTAAATAATATAAAAAGTTAAGAATTTTGGTAGCGGCCATTGGATCAGCCTGACTGATATATAAATTATTCGATTGAGAATTTGTTAATCGGTTTGTTTTTTTGGAGGCTTATGAGTAAAAAAATGCAATTTTTATCAGAAAAGTTACAAGAAAAGAAAGAGATTTGATAATCGAAAATACAATCATACTTCCGATTTTGAAGATGAAGAGGAGTTGACAGGGGATGGCTTCATTAAAGTCCCATCCAAACATTCAGGTTCAACTTATTTCTTTCCCTTTCTTTCTTTCTTTCTTTCTTTCTTTCTTTCTTTCTTTCTTTCTTTCTTTCTTTCTTTCTTTCTTTCTTTCTTTCTTTCTTTCTTTCTTTCTTTCTTTCTTTCTTTCTTTCTTTCTTTCTTTCTTTCTTTCTTTCTTTCTTTCTTTCTTTCTTTCTTTCTTTCTTTCTTTCTTTCTTTCTTTCTTTCTTTCTTTTTTCTTTCTTTCTTTCTTTCTTTCTTTCTTTTTTTCTTTCTTTCTTTTTTTCTTTATTTATTTTTTTCTTTCTTTTTTTCTTTCTTTCTATCTTTATTTATTTCTTTCTTTTTTTCTTCTTTATTTATTTCTTTCTTTCTTTCGAAGGAATAATTAAATTTAAAAAGAAAATTAAGAAGGGGGGAAAATTAAAAAATTAGTTTTATACTTTCGTACACCTTATAATGATAAAGGCATCGATACTCGGCGTTGTTACGTCACAGCTTTAACTTGTAAGCTGTGGGGTAGAATGGGCGCATCTTTTGTCTGTTATCCTTTATATTGCGTTACTAATCTCGTCCTTCTGCGCATGCTCGGGAGAACTCTGCCTCGTAAAATATTGCTAATCGATGATATGGACTCGGGACTTAGGTTTATTTATTTATATTTCACTTATATTTGACGGCAAGAGTTAAAATGTCAGAACCTTGAATTTAAACAAAAATCGGCTATAGACTACGAATCGTTATTTTTCTTTATTTATAACAACGAACCATGATTCGATGATTTCATTAAATTGAAAATAAATATTTACCGATTTCCCAACCCACGGGTCGGTTCGGACCGAGTTTTTCGGACCGAATATTACGACTAACCCCTTTTCTAATTTTCAAATCGTCTCTTTTTTTTTTCTTCTATAAATAAAATTAAGGATAGTTCCTATTTCTCACCATTTTGCCCCGGTCTCAACTTATTCATCCGGGATTAATATTAACATGGGTATTCATCAACCGATCAAGATACTGGGAATGACCGAACTTTTTAAAGGTTTCGGATGCTTGGCATATCACGCCATCGTTCGGATAGGATTAATAAAGATTGCTGAAATCATCATCAAGTCACCGCTTATGAATAATTGAGTTGGTTATCCGATTTTCTTCCTGAATGTTAAAAAAAAATTAGAATTATTATTTGATTCGTTTTTAATTTTAAACGACATATCAATACGCTACGCGCCATTACAGGAATTCTAATGTAACATAATTATATTGCGATATTTTTTTTTTTTATTAGTTAATTTTTATCCTGGTTGACGAATTATTTTTGAATAATTATTGTATTTAATAAATTGTTTTTTTTTCTTCTATAATTTACTACATAATAAATGTATTATATTTTATTATATATATTTAGTTTGTTTATTTATTTATTATTATAATAAAATCTCCTTGAGTTGAACCGACGACTTATTATGATTATCTTTTATTATAATATATATTCGCTTTATTAAAAGATCATTCTAACCCTTCGGTTCGGTTCGGATATTAAAAAATTTAACTATCAAATTTTTTTAAACCCCCTTTTTAAAAAATATATATTCACCCTACCCCTTCTCTCCCCATATCCGGGCTGGTTAGCTACTGTATCTCTAACCATTTAGTAATCGCTCGTGCTGACTAGATTCGGGAAAAGAGTTCACAGCTGGAATTGAACAACCGACCCTACATTTAACTTGATGGTAATATTCTATTTAGAAGAGTTTTTTTTTTAAATTGGTTTAAAATCTAAAATGTCCCCCAATATATTTGAGGCGGTGCTATGTGCTGTTATTTTAGCTTTGTTACCGAAATTTAGTTAAAACCTTTTTTTTTACAAATATAGTAACTCTAACTACGTATAGTTCTAACATAACCCTACACTAACCACTAAGCCACGAGCTCGATATCAGGCCTGAAATTGGGCCTTATATTAGATAATAACTAATGATACTTATTGGCTAAGTTACTTTAGTTAATACTTGCGTTACATCTCAAACAGATACAAATTATATATAGTCATAGATATACATATTTTTTTTTTTATGAAAGTTCAGGAACTCATCCAAAATATAAAGGAAACTCTACTTTTACCGAAACCGATAAAGGAAAAAAAATGTTATTTTTTGAAAGGGCCACTTCATGGATAAGAATATCAATTAGACATGGGTTTGGGCAATCAAAATTCCGCACACTCGATGAGTCACTAAGAATCACGCCTTGAGCGTTAATGAATTTTGTTTTTGAACCGTGATTGGATGACACCATTTTCCAAAAAAAAATACCGGTCCCCCCTTTTGTCTACCCCTGACTAAATGTTCTATTCTATCACTTCTAACATTCTTTAAAGAACTCTTCCCTAATTCATTAGCAGACCCCCCCCCCCCCCACACCCCTGGTTGAAGAATTCTTTTCATATTTGCAGATAAAATATAATTGCAAAGTTCATTATAAAAAAATAATCCAAATATAAGGTACATTTGATATTGTTTCAAAAGAAAATGTAGGGAGATTGTGGAATTAAATTATTTGTATTCCAATTTATAAGCATTGATTTGGTTTTGGATTATCTGTTTTATCAATATAAACTCTTTCTCCTCAAGCTTAATGGTTGTCTTAGATTGTAATTGTGTATCACTTCACTAGTATATCATATTCATTTCCACTATTCTCTCCTCACTTTGTCTATATTATCAGGAGGTTCAAGTTAAAATGATACTTCTTGATAATCTCAATATTAACTACAATGACAAGTGATAAATTAAATATGTTATATTAAATAATTGTGATTTCTTATTTAGAAATTTAATAGTATTTTAAAATTTAAACTTTTTATAAAAATAAAATATTGTAAAAAAAAATAATTAATACGATTTTTATACATTACTTCTCACCTGGCCAGGGTTGAACGCTACTTTTAAAAGTAGCGCGCTATCGCTATCGTTTTCAAATGAGTAGCGCGCTATTAGCTACTTTTTACGCTATTTTGATTCTTTTTTAAAAATATTTTTTACCTAACTTTATTTCCACAAATAAAATATTGGTATAAAAACATGACTATAATTTGTTACATATATATATACAATTTATTTATTATTGCACTTTAATAATAATAACATTTCGGTACTGTCATCCCCTAGTCTGCGATGATCATAAAGTATAAGCTTTGTCATACTAAATAATCGTTCAGCACTAGCACTTGAGGGCCACGCAGTATTAAATTTAATAAATACACTTTTTATATGAAATAAATAATCAAAAATATTTAAATGAGTATCTTTAGATTTAAAAAAAGCATCTAGAGGTTCAATAATATTATTATTTATTTCAAAAAAATCGTCTATGGTAGGCCGCGGTTTCGATCTTGCTATAGTATTAGTATCGTGGTTAGGCATGGCATTGTTTAACGTTACCATCAGCCTATCAAGTTGCCCTTTAGATTCAGTCAAATTAATATATGGCCAATTTAACTTGAAACTAGGATGAACGATAGCAGCTATTACATTTTCATCATCATACAGGACTGGAAATATAATTTATATAAAGCGATTGTATATTATAAAAAAAAGAAGAAAAATTTAATTTTCAAAATTTAAATTTATCTGAGATTTAGATTCATTCATAAAATATTAAATTAGTATTAAAATATGGTAAATAAAGATTTTAAAAATATAATTATTATACACAAGGTTATTAATAATATATTAATTTCGAATTTTATATTAATACTATATATTAATATTATAGAAAGGATAATCTATAATTTTCTCATTTTCCAAAGAAATTTCGCCATCTTCAACAATCTCACACTTTTAATAACTAGATTTATAATGCTAACTAGATTTATAATGTATATTTTTAAATATAAATTTCAAAATTAAATTAAATAAAAGGATTATAATTTTAGATTTATTGAAAAATATTTATTTTTAATTTATTTTGTAAAATAGAAAGTAGCGAAGTAGCGTCTACTTTCTAGATTAGTAGTGAGATACCGCTATCACTATATTCTAAAAAAAATAGCCCGCTAAACCTACCGCTATTGAAAAAAGTAGCGCGCTATTTTAACAACACTGGCATGCATACATAACAGAGTTGTTAAAAGATACTTTTTAAATGAATCTAGATACAGAAACATCGTCTAAAAATTTATCTAGTTACATATACAGCTCCTAAAAAGTTATCTTGATACAGATACAATTTAAAATGTATCTATGTACAGATACATTTTTTATTATACTCTTAGATAAGGTTTGAATAAACCAAAATTAGGATTCTATTGTGAAAATTCATGAAATCATCTAAAAAATTTATTGACTCGATGCATATATCAAAATATAACTAAAATAATGATTTTTAGATATTAATATTAAATATGATTAATATAAATAATTATTATATATCATTAATAAAATCATATAATATATGATTATAAATAATTATTAGATTTCAGTAACAACCACTGTCTGTGGGCAAATTATATTTTTTTGTGGAGCTAATGTTTTGATCATATTTATAAATGATTTTCAACAATTGAAAATGGCTGAATGCTATCTATAATAAAATCATTTATTAAATCATCTAAAGGGGTTTGGGTTAAAGTCTGAGGTCTCTTGGGAAAAAATATTGGATGATGAGCCTAGTCCAATCTTTTCTTTAATAGATTTTTGCTCCTTCCCCTTTTTTATTTGGAGTAAGAGTGTTTGATGTTTTCTCTTAAAATTTAAAATTAAAATTGTAAACATTTATTTAGTATCTATACCCTTAAATGTTTTACAATTTTGCAAGTTGAGGTAATGCTAATTAAAATTTGCATATTTTTTGGTAGACATAGCAAACATTTTACAAACAGAGATTTGTTTTCTTTATTTTGAGATATTATTTTAAAATATAGTCCATAAATTGGCCATGGAATAATGTCTTCATTTTCGTCATCAATATTAATTCAATATTAATCTTAAAAATTAATATAAAATAATTAATATATTAGAATAAAATAAAATGCAAATTCCATTGCAATTAAAAATGGCTAATTCCTTGAGATGGATTATAATATCAGAATTTGCTTGTTATTGATAACTCGGACCAGTGGCGTAGCTACGGGGGTGGTTTTCGGGTTTGGACCCCTCCCAGAGCAAAAATTTATTTTTAGATTATACGTTCAAAAGACTTATAAGTGGTGACTTTATATCAAATAAATACCAATAATATTTATATTTTTCTGGTTTTGATGTTTGTGGAAGGATATCAAATTACTATTGAAATTATTCTGGATAGTATTATTATAAAGTCATTGAGAATAATCTACTAAATTATAAAACAAATTATTGATGCATTTAAAAAATAATTTATTATATATTATCGAAGATATGGTTATGATTTGTAAGATAAACCCGGCCGAAGGCCGGGCAAAAGGGCCAAAGGCCCGTTAAGGAGGTCTGGGGGCGAAGCCCCCGAGGCTTTTATATGTATGGACCCCATCTAAGGAAAATTCCTAGCTACGCCACTGACTCGGACATATTAATTAATATTTATATATTCTTTTTTATATATAAGCTTTAATATTTTACATATATATATATAATTTTTTAATATATATATTAATATTGTTTTTTGCTCACATGAAATAAAATAAATTTTACATTCAAGTATTTTTATTTATAATATTAAAAAGCGTTAAATAGAAGTATATCAAAATGTATCTTAAAAGTATCTAAAAAAAGAAGATACCTCTAAAATAATATATAGATACAGATACAGATACTTTAATCAAAAATCTATCTAGATACAGATACCACATTTTTATATCTAGATACTTGTATCCTAGATACTTTAACAACTCTGATACAAAATAATGATTTGATTAAATATATTAAAAAGCGCCATCATTAGGAGGAATATATATTGTATATTATATTTTTAATATAAATATTTCTAAAAATATTCATTTTAACATTAGCACAACACAATGCCAATATTATAAATAAAATAGTTGATTTATGTGAAGATATTATTTTGCCGCTATTAAATTTTCCTATCGATAGTAATTTATATATTTTAGATTTGATTTGTTTTAAATCTATTTATTTTTATAATAATAAAAGATATCCCATTCTATTCCTAGTGTCTTGAAAAATGTAAAATATGTATAAATAAAGCTATTCAAAATTTATTTAGAATTTTTATTAAAATATGTAAATTTATATAAATATATAATATTAAGGTAGGATAAACAAATAAATACATATATTTACTAGTACTGTAAATTAGTGATCTGCATCGGGCATAATTTTTCAAACCCGGCCCGGCCCGGATTTATTTAAATATAGAAATTAATTTTTGTGATTACTCAAAATAAAGGACATATGTTATATGGCATATAGTTTCTATGAATAAAATCAAATATTTTTTATTTAAAAAAAA